GTCGCATGTAGTCACAGCTACTCGGGAGACTGAGGCAGGAGAATGGCATAAGTAAACCCAGGAGGTAGAGCTTGGAGTGAGCCGAGATCGCGCCACTGCACTCCAGCCTGGGTGACGACAAGAGCGAGACTCTGTCTCAAAAAATAAAAATATAAAAAGACCAGCCTGTGCAACATAGCAAGACCCTATCTCAACAAAGAAAAGAGAGAAAAACAAGGCAATACCAGAATCAGGTATGTGCAGCCTTTGTTGGGGTAAGTGGGGGGATACCTTGACTGAAATATGGTCAGCATAAGGTTGCTAGCTTCCTATTTTGTGATGGAGTTTTACTTTATTCTGAATAATAAAATGTTATTGCATTCTTTTGTATTAAATGTCATTTCTGTTATAATATATTGTTAGCAAATAATAGATATTTTCTTTCTTTCTTTTTTTTTTTTTAGATGAGGTCTTGCTTTGTCCACCCAGGCTGGATTGCAGTGGCACGATCTTCAGTCTGCCTCCTGGGTTCAAGTGATTCTTCTGCCTCAGCCTCCCAAGTAGCTGGGACTAAAGATGTGCGCCACCACCACTGACTAATTTTTGTATTTTTAGCAGAGATGGCATTTCACCATATTGGCCAGGCTGGTCTCAAACTCCTGACCTTGTGATCTGCCTGCTCGGCCTCCCAAAGTGCTGGGATTACAGGCATGAGCAACCATGCGCGGCCTCTCTTCTTTCTTTCTTTCCTTTCGTTCCTTTCTTCTTCTTCTTCCTTTTTTTTTTTTTTGTTTTGTTTTTTTTGTTTTGTTTTTGTTTCTGAGGACAGGGTCCACTCTTGTTGGCCAGGGCTAAGTGGCAGTGGTTGCCAGCATGAACCCGGGAGACGGAGCTTGCAGTGAGCCGAGATTGCGCCACTGCACTCCAGCCTGGGTGACAGAGCAAGACTCTGTCTCAAAAAAAAAAAAGAAAAAGAAAAAAAAGAAAGAAAAGAAAATATCTACTTTTACTTTAAGAAAAAATTAGGCATTTCTTCGGTGAAAAAAAAAACAAAAACGAACAAACAAAAAACCTCTGCAAACTAGCTCAACCTTTTGGGACTATTTCCCCAAAGCTCCGGTCACTGCCTTTGTGGACAAGAATTTAGTGTCTTATAAGGCTACCATGCTACTAGCGCAAATTGTAGCAGGTGCTATCTGATTCTCCATCAGTTTCAAAGACATGTCAATGGCAGGCTTGGAAGGCCATGTAGACGGTCATCTGTTACTAATAAAAAGCCTAATATTACTGAGATGTGATGATGTAAGACCAAGGAACAGGGGATTACTTTGGGGATGTATGGGGGTATAAAGCCAAGGTTTTCTCTAAGTACCTTAATGCCTGGTTGATACTGTAAATTAACAGGCCTATTTGCACTATTCACTTTCTGTAATGTCTTCCCTTATAATTAGGGTCGGAGATCTCTTCATTCTTGAGTAATGATCAATATTCCACCCAAATGTTCCATCCTTCAATGGAAAACATTTCAAAAATTATAGTGCTTTATGTAGTTATGAAGAGATACACATTCTGACCTTGAAGGAAAGCTCATCTTCATTCTCCCCTCGGAAATCATATAAGGCTTTGGCCTTCCTCCCCTTCGGTACTATGGCCGACATACTTTTTGCCTCAGCTGTGAAGACATAAAAAATTTAAATATATAGAAACACAGTGGACTAAAACACAAATCTAACATTTAAAAAAAAAAAAACCCTTGTCGCTCTAAAAACACAGTATTTTCTCTTCAGAGGTAGTGATATTAGGGATAAAAAACATTTTTAAAAACAATATGTTCAATTAATTTTGAACTTATTTAACTTTCAAGAAGATGAACAATGTCCTCTTAGCAGGGAAAAATTACATAAACTGTTTTTATTAGATGGAATATAAACTGTTTTTATTAGATGGAATATTAGCCATTATTTAGTGAAGACATTTTAATCTTTTTTTTCTGTAACTCTAACAAAGTATATGAATGTAGTTTGCATAACTTCATGTATCAACTCTTTCAAATATAGACAGACAAACTGAGCATGGCCAGAGGGGAAAGGAATGTATATAGTTTTGAAGGTTTCAGGCACCCCGTGAGGAGTAGCACTCATGTCTTGCGGTTGTCATACCTGGGCAGGGCCTCACAAACACTGCTGGGAAGATCCCCTCCCTGTCCTGCAGTCTGCCCCTGCACCAGTCAGAATCTAGACGTTCCAGAATCTGGATCCGGTCTCCCCTCTTGAAGGATAAGTCATCACTGGTCTCTGCTGTAAAACTGTGAAGAGCTTCACACCATTCTGCAGAAAGACTGTTAACCTGTTATCAATTAGAAGTGTGGTCAGAAATGTAAGATTTTATTTGAAATTGAGTTCCACAAAGCTTAAAGAGTAGTGTGGAAAAAAAGCTAAGTGGTCTTAAGATTTCAAAGCCTGAAGACTTCTTTAAATTATCTAATACCTTATGTTGCTATCAAGTTTCAGATATAAAAGTTTCCAATAATTTTTTCTTAAATTATAACTCTAAATGACAAGTGTGATAGAATTTGTGGCTTTTCTGCTTTTGAGGGATATACAAAGCTTAAGCAAACACTTTTTTCCTTTTCTTTTCTGAGACAAGTTCTTACTTAGTAACCCAGGATGGAGTGCAGTGACAGAATCATAGCTCACACTGCAGCCTTGACTTCCTGGGCTCAGGCAATCCCCCCTCCTCAGCCTCTCGAGTAGCTGGGACTACACGTGCGGCCACCACACCCGGCTATTTAATTTTATTTTTGCAGAGATGAGGTCTCACTATATTGCCCAGGCTGGTCTTGAACTCTTGGCTCAAGTGATCCTCCCAGCCTCCCAAAGTTCTGGGATTACAAGCATGATCCACCTCACTCAGCCAAAAAACTTTTTTCTTACTATGACCTATTATATTGTTATATTAAAGAATTAGGTCAAAGCATAAAATATTTATGCATAGTATTTGACACTATGAAAAAATTCTGATAAAGTAATTATCAGTGAAGCTCTTCTTTATTTAAATTAGGAAGGATCAGAATGGGTGGGTCTATTAATTCCCAGGTCTTTACTTGATTCAGAGACTATTAGATTCCATAGCACAGAACTTCACTAATTCACACTTTTAATTTTATGAGGTATAGTTAACTCTGAGATTGGCAGGATAACACCCAGATGTGGTGGGCTAGTGTAAGAATGCTTTTATCCCAGGTACATTAGAGAAAGGTTTTGCTCTGTGAAGAGGCAGCTCTGCCAATTTGGGATGGGAACCCTATGTTCAAGATGCTCAAGCAGACAGTAGAGGATAATGAAAAGGCTTTTTTTTTTTTTTTTTAAATGGAGTCTCGCTCTGTCGCCCAGGCTGAAGGGCAATGGAGTAATCTTGGCTCAATGCAACCTCCACCTCCCGGATTCAAGCAATTCTCCTGCCTCAGCCTCCTGATTAGCTAGGACTACAGGCGGGCACCACTACACCCACCTAATTTTTGTATTTTTAGTAGAGACGGGGTTTCACCATGTTGGCCAGGCTGGTCTTGAACTCCTGGCCTGAAGCAATACACCTGCCTCGGCCTCCCAAGGAGCTCGGGCTCCCAAGGAGATTACATGAGTGAGCCACAGCGCCCGGCCAGGACAAAGGCTTTGGAGCTAGCCAGGCAAGGGTTCCAGACCCAGTTCTGCCACTTCTTAACTTCGTGACACTGGGCAAGATGCTTCTCTTCGCTGAGGCTCAGCTTCATCTTGGGGTTACTAAGAGCATTAATTGAGACAATGCATGTCTAACATTTAGCCCAGTGCCTGGCACATCTTAAGTGCTCAATAACTGATGGCTTACAAAACAAAAACAAAAAGCAAGCAAACAACACTAACCTTGCCCTCTTGCTCCTGCACCTGAGTAACCAACCCTAAAGGATGGAACTTATCATTCCTCAGAAATGCAGGCAACAACCATGTGAACATTTCCTTTTGGAGAACTGTAGTCAGTTTCCTTCCTCTTTCACTGTATCAGTGGGTAGGGACGAAAGGATAAGGGGACACACAGGCCAACTACAAGTGACATTTTCACAAACACAATCATCCCATCAGGCTTAACTCTTCTAAATTTGTCACAAAAAAACAATGGAAGGCCGGATATGGTGGATCACCCCTGTAATCCTAGCACCTTGGGAGGCTGAGGCAGGTGGATCACTTGAGCCCAGGAGTTTGAGACCAGCCTGGGTAACAAAGTGAGACCCTGTCTACAAAAAAGACAAAAATTAGCTGGGAGTGGTGGTGTGTGCCTGTCATCCCAGCTACTTAGGAGGTTGAGGTGGATTGCTTGAGCCTGGGAAGCAGAGGTTGCAGTGAGCTGAGACCTTGCCACTGCACTTGGCCTAGGCATCACAGTGAGACACTGTCTCAAAAAAAAAACCAAAAAAAAACCAAACCAAAACCAAAACCAAAAATAAACAAACAACAACAAAAACAACAATAACAAACTAAAAAACAACAGAAGGTACCACATTCCTAGTACCTTTAAGCACTTCTGGAGTCATGTTACAAAGTGTAAAAATTTTAACCCATTATTTTTCTCTTTCTCATTATACAAATGAAACAATTTTTCCTAAATATTTGGTAAGTTGAGAAATGTATAAAGAAATGGAGGAGGCTGGGCTCAGTGGCTCATGCCTGTAATCCCAGCACTTTGGGAGGCCGAGGTGGGTGGATCACGAGGTCAGGAGTTCAAGACCAGCCTGGCCAAGATGGTAAAACCCTGTCTCTGCTAAAACTACAAAAACTAGCGAAGCATGGTGGCAGGCGCCTGTAATCCCAGCTACTCGGGAGGTTGAGGCAGGAGAATCGCTTGAACCCGGGTGGCAGAGGTTGCAGTGAGTCAAGATCGCGCCACTGCACGCCAGCCTAGGCGAAAGAGTGAGACTCCATCTCAAAAAAAATAAAAGAAGTTGGGGGGGAAAAAAAACCTACCCATGTATATAATCTTACTACCTAGATGCAATTTAATACTAATAACTTGAATAATTTCCTTCCTATCTTTTTATGCTATATATTCAATTTTATATCCCCTTTCCCTATATGTTTCCTCTCATGACATTTAAAAAATGATTTTACTTTATAAATCTAGTTTTTCATAGATTTAGTACATTCTCCCAACAATGGTCATATTTAGGTCATTTCCAATTTTTTCTTATTATATTAGCACTATGCTCATCTTTGTGACTCAACCTCTTATTTTTTATCCTTTTCTTTTTTTTTTTTTTTTTTTTTTGAGACGGAGTCTCGCTCTGTCACCCAGGCTGGAGTGCAGTGGCGCGATCTCGGCTCACTGCAAGCTCCGCCTCCCAGGTTTACGCCATTCTCCTGCCTCAGCCTCCCGAGTAGCTGGGACTACAGGTGCCCGCCACCTCGCCCAGCTAGTTTTTCGTATTTTTTAGTAGAGACGGGGTTCACCATGTTAGCCAGAATGGTCTCGATCTCCTGACCTCGTGATCCGCCTGTCTCGGCCTCCCAAAGTGCTGGGATTACAGGCTTGAGCCACCGTGCCCAGCTTTTATCCTTTTCTTAGGGTGATAATAATGTGTACTTTCTCTCTTTTTTGACACTCACATGCGTATAATTGCTTGTTTAGTGTTGAGCTGCACTGAATCTTTGTTAACTGAATAGGTTAAATGGTATTTTATTGCTGTCTTATTATATATTTTCTTGATTACTAGAAAGGTTAAATATTTTTTCAATATTAGCCACTTATTGTACCTCTTTTATGAATTCTCTAATCATGTCTCTTTTTCATTTTCTTTCTTTTTGTTTTGAGACAAAGTCTTGCTCTGTCACCCAGGATGGAACGCGGTGGTGCTATCTCGGCTCACTGCAACCTCTACCGCCGGGTTCAAGCTATTCTCCTGCTTCAGCCTTCTAAGTAGCTGGGACTACAGGTGCATGCCACCACACCTGGTTAATTTTTGTATTTTTAGTAGAGACAGTGTTTCACCATGTTGGCCAGGCTGGTCTCGAACTCCTGACTTCAGGTAATCCACCCACCTTGCCTTCCCAAAGTGTTGGGATTACAGGCATGAGCCACTGTGCCCAGCATCTGTTTTCATTTTCTATCAGGGTTTGCATGTCTTTGTATGAGCTCTCTATATAACATATATTAACCATCTAAGTAATTTATTATAAACATTTATTGTATAAATTGAAAAATTAATTCATACTATATTCTCTTAATAATTATGATTTTAATAGTCCTCCCAGTTTGAACCTGGCTGTCACTATAGTCATCTGTTCAAGCAGCCTACCTGAGAGTTTGAGCCAGAATCTTCTTTTTTGGTTTTCAGTGGTACCTTTGTGCCTACATTTAAAAAAAAAAAAAAAAACAAAACACAGGAAGTCAGAACATTAGATGTGAAGGCCATATAGTATTAAAAATAAATGGTTGGGGTGGGAGTGAAGAGTCTGGGATTCCACACCAGGCTCTTCATGTATTGCCTATGTTGCCTTAATCTGTACTACCCTCACTGAGCTTGTTTAGTTAATTGTAAAGTAAGCACAATTATTTATAGTCTACATACGTTAGTAACAGTCTATAGTTCATTTCTGTTTAAAAGTCTTTGCTATTTATTTATTTATTTATTTATTTATTAGAAACAGAGTCTGGCTCTGTTGCCCAGGCTGGAGTGCAGTGGTACAGTCATAGCTCACTGCAGCCTCAAACTCCTGGTCTCAGGTGATCCGCCCACCGTTGCCTCTCAAAGTGTTGGGATTACAGGTCTAAGCCACCACACCCAGCCTCTTTGCCATTTCTTGTATGAAGTTATTGTTAATTACCTAAAATACCAAAACTAGCTCTTTGAGAGATGCCCACAAATAATGTCTATCCCACACAAATTCTCATTTTAAAATCAGTTTTCCTTCTACCTTAAAAATATGGCAATATGGATTATTATACAGCTGAAATATAATGCTATTATTTGGTTTATTTGAATTAGGACATGACATAATAAAAAAAAAATTCTCTATACTCACTTAAAACATTTGCACCAGAGGTGGGAGAATCCTCAACAGGCTCCACAAAGTTCAGGGGGAAAATCCCAGTTCTGCCTCGAACTTCTCCTCTGGCCCATTCCTCATTCACGTACTCTTTAAGAATAATAATTTCTCCCTCTGAGAAACTCAACTCATCCTTCTGCTCTCCAATATATTCAAACCGAGCAACACATCTTGAGCCTCTGAATGAAGAACACGTTTTGTGGATTAGACTAGAGAGTGCTTTTAAAATGCTTAAAAACCTTCATTCAGTCTTTCAATAAGTATTTATTCTTGGTTTACCATGGAATAAGGTATACTAGGCTAATTTGAAATTATTCCACGAAAACCAGTAAGTTACACTTTTAATTAACAGATATGAACCTATTCACTCAAAAAGGCTAAAGCTCAAGGTCACAGAGTGCACGCAGCTGGGTGGTTAGTTTACCCTGCTGTGTCTTTTGATCATCTTACTCCCCAGTCTCCATATGTTTGTATCCTTGGGCCACAGCAATCCATGGTCCAGTCTGAACCCTTTCAATCATAAATGCACTGAGTTGAGGAGTGTTAACCCTGAGAATCTCAGGGCAAGTCATCAAATTTCCTGACTACTAATCAGGGCAGAATGCAATGGGCATTAGCTGGGCAAAGTCGATGCTCAATTAATCAGTGAGTTGGCCTTAAAAACTAGGAGAAGGTTTAAAGAAAACAGAAACTCGGCATATTATAACACACAGTCTTGGACCTAACCCTGTTGCCTTTAAGAACAATTTTTGTATCGCCTTTAAAAGGGCTTCATTTCTGACATTTGGGACAATCCTTACATGATCTGCAATTCTGACTGAAAATAAGATAAAAGCAGAGATAAAATCGTGTCTCTAGAAGGTGTGCTTTAATACTAATCCCTAAATTTGAGGGTTTAGAAAGGAAGTTTCAACAGCAACAGGCCAAGGAGAAGCAATTGCCTAAAGAGAAAAGGTTGATTCTAGCTCTAACAGAATTCTGATTTAAGTCAGATCAATGGGTCAATGACTGTAAAAGCCCACTTCAAATTCAACCTGCTGAGACACAGTATATGCTGCTTAAAAATAGAGAAAAACTGAATCTGAAATAGAATTCAACTGCTGTGGATCAGAAGTTTTCTTATTTGTGATAACCTTTGCATTTGTTTTCTAAAGTCCTCTGGGAGCATCTCCTTATGTCTGACCTATTCATAGACAGGTTTACAGTCTTCAGCAGGTAATGAATTCTATTAATTTGCTCATTTAACTGGAATGTAAAGTTGCACTGTGGCAGTGTTTTAAATCACAAAGGAGTTACAACGATGCATAAAAGGGTATATAAATTCAGGGAAAGGTCCTCAACTTAACTCTTCCTTCATTTTCTTCTAGTTCCTCTTAAAAACAAAAAAATACAAAATGTCTAGCAGTTATTGTAGGATTCATATTTCTACAGGATTTAATTATTTCTCATGACAAAAATACTTGAACCTTCTAAAAACTGGGTAGATAACACCAGAAGGCCAAAATAAAATGCAGTAAATGATGAAACTATCTCTGCTCATGCTAAGGCCAGGCTGCAGGAAGCATTGGCATAGACTGTGCTTTGCTGCTTTCTCTATGTTCTGCATTGATGTTGGAGAATTGCTTAGGCAAGCTTCTATCAGCATGTTCATGATGTATTTTCATCAGAATTTTAACTCATTGTCACCTTTTAAACAAGTTTTCCTTGTAATTAAAAAGACACAGTGAGAATTGGAATAATCACCATGTGAAGTGTTTTCTTTTAAAATAAAGAATAAATAAATAATAGAGAGGGGTTCTTGCTATGCGGCCCAGGCTAGTCTTGAACTCCTGGCCTCAAGCAATCCTCCCACCTCAGCCTCCCAAAGTATTGAGATACAGGTCTGAGCCACCATGCCTGGCCTTGGAGTGTTTTAAGCTTGATAATTCTTCACGATATAGATGGTTATCTCCTTTGTATTTTGTGCAAAAGGACACAAATAAAACTTACTTAACACAATGAGATGAAACAGATTCTCTTTTCCCATTTCCTCCTTCTGGAATATCAATCTAGTAAAGACAAAATCAAGGCAACAATTATTTTTTTTTCAGATTTTCGTAAGATAAATTTAAGGCTAAGTAATTAGAAAGTGCATGATTGAAATGGATTTGTTTAGCTAGGTGTTAATCTGATTAAGAGGAACTACAGGTGCTAACTGGTAAAAAAAATCCTGAATTTGGATTAAAAAAAAGTATAACATGTGAAGTAGCCTTCCTTGAGTAGCCAATCAATTCTCTTATTTGCTGGAATAACCACATTAATATCACTCTAATTCTGACTGAATTTTCTTTATCCCCCCGCTTTTTTTTTTTTTTTTTTTTTGAGGCAGGGTCTAACTCTGTCACCCAGGCTGGAGTGCAGTGGCACAATCAGAACTCACTGCAGCCTCGACCTCCCAGGCTTAAGTGATCCTTCTGCTTTAGCTCCCCCAAGTAGCTGGGACTACAGGTATGTACCACCACACCTGGCTAATTTTTGTATTTTTAGCAGAGACGGTTTCACCATTGTTGCCTGGGCTGGTCTTGAACTCTTGGACTCAAGCAATCTGCCTGCCTTAGCCTCCCAAAGTGCTGGTATTATAGGCGTGAGCTGCCACACTCTGCCAGCTCTATCCCATATTCTCCAGGTTGAAAACTGCAGCTGAGAAGGACTTAAGATAGGAATCAGGCATTAGGCATTCACAGTGCCACGCATCAGCTCTACCACACCTACTCCAAGTGTTGGTACAACCCCGCAATACTTCTCTGACCCCAAGATAAAATATTTCAGTAAAACTTTGGATTCTTGGGCCAGGTGCAGTGGCTCAAGCCTGTAATCCCAGCACTTTGGGAGGCTGAGGTGGGTGGATCAGGAGTTCGAGACTAGCCTGGCCCGGGCGACAACTGCGAGACTGTCTCAAAAAACAAAACAAAACAAAACAAAGCAAAGCAAAGCAAAGCAAACAACTTGTGGATTCTCTTCACATTTATAACTGGAACATTTTCCCCCTTCAACATGAATAGGGAAGGAAGAAAGGAATCTGTATTTAGCAAACATCTATTAAGTGGCAAGCACTTTATTTTATTTTATTTATTTTTTGAGACAGGGTCTCACTCTGTTGCCCAGGCTGGAGCGCAGTGGCATGATTATGGCTCACTGCAGCCTTGCCCTCCCATGCTCACACCATCCTCCCACTTCAGCCTCCCAAGTAGCTGGAGTTGCAGACACCTGACATCATGCCCAGCTAATTTTTCAATTTTTTGTGGGGACAGGGTCTCACTATGTTGCCCAGCCTGGTCTTGAACTCCTGAGCTCAAGTGATCCTACCGCCTCAGCCTCCCAAAGTGTTGGAATTACAGGCATAAGCCACTGTGCCCAGCCAAGCACTTAATGTAATATCTTATTTACAAGGCTCAGTAGAGGAGGGCTGGGTTGTGATAAAATATTTGGCTATAATGCATGCAATCTAAAACTACTTAAAGCTTGAGGTTTATATTAAATAAATCAGTGCCTTCTTGATGAATTTTAAAGGTTTGAAGTTTTAAAACAATTTTTTAAACTTGTGGGCTTAGAAATAACACACTAATAATGTGGCAGATTCTGTGTGATTGATTTCAGTGTGGTAATTGTGCTTTTTAAAGTACTGCTACATCGGGCAGAAGAAAAATGAGGAAGAGTGCTAAAACAAACATTATTCATAATATTAATTTAGAGAACATAGTTGAGCTTCTCCAAAGAATCAAGGCATAGATAAACTGGACAATTTTTAATGCCTACCCTTCATAATCCAAGAGATTCAAATTCATTTCTATTTGAAGAATTCAGATTTTCTGTTAGTCTTGTTTTCTAATTTTGTGATGTAATGGAATTTTTTACTTTTTCCTTCCAAATAAGCTGTTAATGCAGTTAGGCTAGATTTTTTTGATATTTCATAGTATCATAAGTTATATCAGGGACGGAGTCATCCTCTTCCAATGATACAAATGTGTGAGGGCTGTCTGATTTTATCCCCATATTTCACAGCCATCTGGGCTTACACACAGCTCTCACACACAGGAATGCTTTCACAAGTTAGGCTGTGAGGGTATATAAAATTCTGGTGCTTTAATATAATTATTCTAATCAGATTAGAAATTATTTTGTGGGCACAACCATTAATGAACCACTATCTACAATACAAATACTTCTGTATTTCCAAATAGATTTTTTTTTAAAAGACAGAGATAAATAAGAATGGAAAAGATGAAAGAAACCCAAACCAAAATGTACTCCAAAGAAAAGAAGTGGTACCATAACCTCAGAGGACACCTCTACAGGATAATCTAGTATCATTCAATTCATGTTCACTAAATGTCTCAAAGAATTACCATATATCCTTAAGTGCTTAACAACCCTTCAAGAACAGCTGATTCACCAGTTGACCTGTGGTGGTCTTTCACTTTAGGATTTCAGATAGCATTTAGGCATTAAGTTCTAACACCCCATAATATAATAATTAACCATCATCTAGTTGACCAAATCTTTATTTTTGAGTTTTCCAAATGCCAAATGAATCAATGAAAAAGAGAGAACTAGAATCTGGGTTTCTAGTTATTTTTTCCAACCTACAAGTCACATAGAACCCACTGAGTATATGACTAAATTAAAGCAAATACAACCCACTTACAATCACTTTGACATAGTTGGCAGGAAATATGCCAATCTGGTTTCTACAGTTCCCTCTGTACCAGTCTGTATCTATCTTCTCCAGAAGATAAACAGTTTCTCCAGAAGTGAGGTTCAAATCATCAACTTGCTCTGTAATATAAAATTATGGTTATGTATGATGAATTATCCTGGTTGCAGATTTGATAAAGCCACAAAGTAGCATTTAGTCGTGTCCACTGAGGCAGTTATGTTCCACCGATTCTGAGAACATATTATACTAATCAAATTGACTTTAAAAATGCTATTCTTTTTTTGGATATTGTTATGAGCTCCCTTTTTAAAGACCAAACTAGTTACATTTACCATGCTTTGATTGATGGGAAATGGTTGAATAAAAACACTATTGTGTTAGCAAATGTTTCCTACTGTGCCAATATAAACCCATGCTGAGTATACACTGAACAATGAAAAAAGTTTATAGACATGGTATAATATTCTTATTATTCTCAATCATGCTTGCAAATCATTTTAATTTCAAATGTTAACTAAGGGAGTACTATAACTCTATAGCAAGTAAGTATACCCATACCAAAATAAAAATCAGCCTATCAAGTGGATTAAAAGAGATTGCAAGTAAATCGGGAGTTTATTTGTAGCCTTGGGTATGAGGGTATTTTAAAAATTATTACAAAAGTACTTATATTATGGGTGGGCATGGGTGGCTCATGCCTGTTATCTCAGCACTTTAAGAAGCTAAGGTGGGAGGATCACTTGAGGCCAGGAGTTCAAGACCAGCCTGGGCAACATAGCGAGACCATGTCCCTAAAAAAAAAAAAAAAAAAATTAGCCAGGTGTAGTGGCACCCCTGTAGTCCTAGCTACTGGGGAAGCTGAGGGAGGAGGATCACTTGAGTCCAGGAGTTCAAGGTTACAGTGACTGCACCACTGCACTCCAGCCTGGGCCACCGAGCAAGATCTCGTCTCAAAAAAATATATATATATTTTGCTCTCATAGGTAAGTAGCAGCTGAGACAACTTTGAGGGCAAAAGAACTTCAGTTATTATGTTAGAATTAACTTTATTACGATTCTTTTTTTTTTCTTTTTTGAGACAGGGTTTTGCTCTTGTTGCCCAGGGTGCAATGGTACTATGTCAGCTCACTGCAACCTCTGCCTCCGAGGTTCAAGCGATTCTCCTGACTCAGCCTCCCAAGTAGCTAGGATTACAGGCATGCATCACCACGCCCAGCTGCTTTTTTGTATTTATAGAGATGGGGTTTCAACATGTTGGTCAGACTGGTCTGGACTCCTGACCTCAGGTGATCCATCTGCCTTGGCCTCACAAACTGCGGGGATCACAGGTGTGAGCCACCATGCCCAGTCATATTGCAATTGTTAATTAGTACCCACTATTTTGAAAGAGTTAAAAAGTTTGTGACTGGTAGGCAATTTGCAATGTTCATCTGTAAGGGAAAGTCTCTCTCTCTCTCTTTCTCAGGGAGCTTCAAAGGCAAGGGTATACAACTAAGCTTTCTGGAATGGCTGGTACAATCGACCCTTCTTGAAGTGGAGTCCCGGATAAGATGACCTCTCTAGTCTAGGACTCTACAGGCACAGAAAATGAAGTAGGATGCCCTTGAGAGGCTAACCCCAGGGCAGGGAGAAAGACTTACTCCTGGATCCTGTGGTTCTCCTACTGTATTATTTACATCCTTACCTGCTGGGAAATCATGAAGAACGACAGCATGAGGAGCACCACTGTCAACAGGCTTCTGAGCGTGGCTTGGATCCTTAGGGGGGAAAACAGGGCTGTGAATGAAGTGTGCAGGATAGATGGTGGATTTATTATTCACTCTGAGACCAATTTCTTTTTTTCTCATTAGAGTCCTCTTGACACAATTACATTATGAGTACAAGATGCAAACCACACAGTTGAGCCAAACAAGGGAATTATTATCAAGTTGAAGAAGAATGTGTCCTTGCCAAGGGAGAACGAAAATCTCAATTAAAATATCCCCCAGTGTGTTTTGTTTTTGCTTTTTTAAACTGAGAGAGTAAAACAAAAGGGAACTGATTGTTTACTTTTAAACAGTGCCTATTCTACCCTGAAGTAGTGGTTTTTGACCTCTTTCCCTTTCAAGGGTAGCTTTTTCCTTAAAACTGCGATCAAGACAGAGTCTTAAAAGTTGTGTCTTTATTAGGATGGGAAAAGGAAGAAAGTTCTATGATTTATGCTCTTGCCTTTTGTAATGAAAGGAGCTAATGACTTTCCACAAAAGTACAATTCACAAAAAGTAAAATCCATTTCATTTATTACCTTAACTAAGTGCTTTTTCTAATTTGAAAGCAATGCTACCTCCCATGCCTGGTCTGCATTTTGTATTTAATCTGAATGGTTTATTACAACAGTAATTCTAAATAAATTAGCAAAAATAATCTAACATTCTCTATCCATCTAGCCAATTGCCTAGATTGGCCAGAGGAGAAGGCAAAGCTGAAGAGTGACCTCTTCTTATTGACTAGCAATTGTTATTCTTAGTTTCTTTACATGAAGAGACAGGCTTATCCTCATCATCATCAAATCCCACTGAAGGATATTATTTGGAGTTGAACTTAACACTCTTCAACACTGGCAAGCCTGTGAAATAAATAAAGGCAGATTTTTGTGCCGTTTCTTGTCTCTTCACCTCCTCTAATAACTCTTGTCCCCTTAGAGACATCCTGACCCTTCGATACCTCTGCCCTTCCCCTGGCCATGATGCACCAGGCTGATCAGAGTGCACGGTGAATGATGGTCCACTCCATTTCAACCCTGCAGCACCTTTGCTGAGATCTTTTCTAAATCTCACCTGCTCTTTCAACCAAAATGCCCCTGCAGAAACAAAACTTACATTCTCTCAACTTAGGTAAACTGAAATATAATTTAAGTCAAGACTCTAATGGCTAATGTAGCTTACTATAGTGGCTTACCAAGATGACCCTAACATTTTTTCATGGACTGCTTAATGCTTTTCTCTAAATAAATGAACACTATGGAAATTTCATGAATTCTGAGATATTTTAGTTCTGACATGGCTTTTTTTTCTTTGACACAGGGTCTTGCTCTGTCACCTAGGCTGTAGTGTAGTGGCGCAATCACAGCTCACTGCAGCCTTGACCTCCAGGGCTTAAGCTATCCTCCCACTTCAGTCCCCCAAGTAGCTGCGACTACAGACGTGCACTACCATGCCTGGCTAATTTCTGTATATTTTGTGAGATGGGGTCTCGCCATGTTGGCCAGGCTGGTCTCAAACTCCTGGGTTCAGGTGATCCACCTGTCTTGGCCTCCCAAAGTGCTGGGATTACAGGCGTGAGCCACCGTGCCCAGCCTGGAGTGGCTTTTAATAATTATTCAGCATGGACAACATAGCGATATGCCATGTCTACAAAAAAATAAAAAATTAGCCAGGCATGGTGATACATCCCTGTGTTCCAGCTATTAGAGATGCAGAGGTGTGAAGATCTTTTGAGCCCAGGAACTCGAGGCTGCAGTGAGCTATGACTGTGCCATTATACTCTGACTTGGATGACTGAGTGACTCTCTCTAAAAAAAAACATAAAAAAATTAATTATTATTTACATAATGTATTACACATGTGCATGTGTGATTTTCATTTTCTTCTGATTTACATCTGTGGAGAAAAAGGAATTACTATTCAATAAGTGGTATTAGGCTAGATGGCTATATTTGGAAAAAATGATGTCAGAGACCTATCACACACCAAACACAAACATGAAATCTCCAAATGAACCAGAGGCCTAAACATAAACCAAGCCTTGGAGGGAGGGGATAATTTGTGCCTCCCGATCACACATTTTCCCTTCTCTGCCTTCAATGTATGGATATCACCGGCAATGCTGCTCATCAACCCAGCCTAGCAGGTGAAGGGCAAGAGGAACAGGCTAGACAGGGTTGACAACAAGGGGACCATACAATTCAGACCACACCACTGGGGTAGGTATCTGGTAGACAAATATAATATAATGCAAAGGGCTTTCTAATAAGACTATAACTGCTAATGCAAGTGGTTTTGTAATATTAAGAATAACTAATATTTACCGCTCATTCACTATGTGCTACTCACTGTGTTAAATACCTTATATGCATCAGCTCAATGAATTTGTTAAAACATCTTTGAGATACAACCCACATATGATAAAATTCAGCCACTGAAAGTGAACATGGCTGTAGGATATTCATAGAATTATCCAACCATCACCATAACCCAAGTGCAGAACATTTGTATCACTTCCCAAAGAAACCTCCTACTAATTAGGTGTCACTCCCCATTTACCCTCCCCTCAGTCCTAGGAAAACCAGTAGTCTACTTTCTGTTTCTAGGGATTTATCTATTCTGGACTTTTACACAAAATCATATAATCTGTCAACTCTGAAGACAACTCTGTGGGCAGTTATCTCACACATTAAAAAAATAAAGTTTAGAGAAGTTAAATAACCAACGAAGAAGGTGGAAGGGGAACCAAATTCCACCTCCCTGAAACCCAGGTCTAGGGTCTCAACCACGTACCAGGCAACAACCTTCCACTGTTCCCATGATCTCTCTGATTCAACCACAAATGGTCATGTTCATTCAATATTTTCTGTTTGCCAAGTTAGGGGGAAAGTACAACACATTCGTGGAGATATTACCTTAAAACTAGGCTTTCAAATAGGTAAGTTTTATTTTTAAAAAATGTAACGATAGCCATTAACCCAGAAGCATAAAGGAGGATTCATTTCATTATCACCAATAGCTGCCTATCAGAGGCCAACTCTCTGCAAGTCTACAGTAAAAGATGAGAAGGTGGTATTTAAGGTGGGAACTTTGCACTGTTATAAAAGACTAACTTTTGGCTGGGCATGGTGACCCATACCTGTAATCCGAACACTTCGGGAGGCCCATGCAGGCAGATGGCTTAGCCCAGGAGTTTCAGACTAGCCCTGACAACATAGTGAGACCCTGTCTCTACAAAAAATTTTTAAAATTAGCCAGGCATGGTGGCGCACGCCTGTAGTCCCAGCTACTCAGGAGGCTGAGGTGGGAGGATTGCTTGAGCCGGGAAGGTCAAGGCTGTAGTGATCATACCACTTTATTTCAGCCTGCCAATGGAGTGAGACCTTGTCTCAAAAACAAAAACAAAAACAAACAAACAAAAAATCTACTTGCTTTTAGCTTCTATTTTTCACAAAGGAAAGCTTTTTGGCAGTGTAACTCCCACTGTTGCCATGAGTGTGTTCTGAAAAGAGGAAGGACAGCTATGATAGATGGATAATGCTGTACCAAAACAGACAAAAAGAGTCAGAGGAGAACTTTCCCCGTGGGAGCTAAAGTAAGGATTTTCATATGCCAGCAGAAGCTACCTTAACACATATCTCCTCTGCTCTCCAAATACAATTTTTTAGTTTCTTAGCAAACTTCAAAAGATAAACTGCCTTCTAAGAAGAAAAAATTGGAAAAGATTATGAAAACTGGGATAAATGGCAAACCAAGTATTTTACTTGATTACTATTATTTTTCATATTTACTCCATTTTTTATTTGTATTTTTTTTCAAGACAGAGTCTCGCTCTATGGCCCAGGCTGGAGTGCAGTGGTACAATCATGGCTCACTTGCGGCCTCGATCTCTTGGGCTCAAGTGATCCTCCCACCTCAGTCTCCTGAGTAGCTGAGACTACAGGCATGCACCACCATGCCAGACTAATTTTTGTATTTTTACCAGGGACATGGTTGTGCCATGTTGCCCAGGCTGGTCTTGAACTTCTGGGCTCAAGCGATCTGCTGCCTTGGCCTCCCAGAGTGGTGGGATTACAGGCATGAACCACTGTGCCTGGCCTATTTTTCATATTTACTATGTTAACAGATAGTGAAATTTTACCTGGATAACTTAAGAAGCTCTTTAAAAAATATACTCCTACAGCCGGGCGCGGTGGCTCACGCCTGTAATCCCAGCACTTTGGGAGGCCGAGGCGGGCAGATGACAAGGTCTAGGAGGTCGAGACCACAGTGAAACCTCGTCTCTATTAAAAATACAAAAAATTAGCCGGGCACGGTGGCGGGTGCCTGTAGTCCCAGCTACTCAGGAGGCTGAGCCAGGAGAATGGCGTGAACCCGAGAAGCGGAGCTTGCCCATAGAATTCTCTTCTAATTCTGCTATTAAAAAAAAAAAAAAAAAAAAAAATACTCCTACAAATTGTTCAACATCATTTTTCTTGCTAAACAAATGACTTTCAATAACCATTGCATCTTTCCAGGTTCCACTAAATCGGGACTTGAGGTTGTTGGATTACATTTCATTGTTTTATGAGCTATAATCAGAGAAATGAGGTTTATATTAAGCTTAAATCTTAAACGGAAGTGCTTTTTAGTGTCAGACTTCCATTCTGCTAGAAAACTATTCTCTGACACTTTGGTAAACAGGTTTACATTACTTAAAAAACAAACAGCTCTTACAGTTGAAAATTAATGACTGAGTATTCTGGTTGTTATAAGTCAGCACATTATGAAGAAAGCAAAACACAGGGCAGTCACTCTGTATCGAAGTGATTAGTATGGCAGCGGCAAGTCTCTTAGTAGTAATTTATTCTAAAAGTGGAATAAAATGCTGCTGTAATTTTTACTCTGGTTACAATAAATGTGCTAATAAAAATCTGAAGATGAGATGTAATTAATAGTTCCATGAAATGTGCTGCTACGTGTGATACGAGGGCTGTAACAATATTAATCCCTTACGTGTGGTCTGCTTCTAAGATGTTCATCAAGTGGAGTGATAATCTTCATTTGAGACAGGTGAACTCTGCCAGTGTCTTCTCCCTTTTGGCACTCCAAGTAATTATTTTCCGTCTGCTTCAGCATCACAAGTACATCCCCACGCTGTAAGGTACAATACCACTCTCTGAAGCAATTATTATTTAATAAAACATTATTACTTTTTCACATTTTAATCTTTGGAGCCTAAAGCATTTAATAACGTGTAATAGTAGGATTAATTTTTTTTTTACATTAACCAGTAAAGAAAGAGCTCTACTTTACCTTACAAGAGAGTTCTCCAGGGTTTTGTGAGACAATATCTTCACTGGCAATTCCATGAGGCACAGACAGCTTAAATGTAAACCAATAAAAGGCTTATTCACAATCAAATAACCTCCTCTTACGTTACTGATCATTTAGGAATTTGGCATGTGTGTGCCTAAAGAGCACCTTCTCCAGCAGCTACACTCACCCGGCTTCATCATGCTCTAGATCAACGGGGCCTGTCATTTCTCATGGATGTTAAGAGGCTCTTGGGAGTTGGAGTTGGGCCCATAGAACCACAAGAGCTGAACATGGCCTAACATTCCCTTAAAGACCATAACCAGGAAGTTCCATTCTACAGGATAAGATCCACCAAGTCCCCTGGGTTTTGAAGGAGAAATACCTAGCACTTGACCTCACAGCCAGTTCTTTAATTCAGGGTTCTTACAACGGTGGCCTCCGAAGGCTGATCAGTGATTGGAGCCCTCCGTGTACTGCCTGCCTGCCTGCTTGTTTCCATAGACCTTGAAGCTCTTCTTCTCCTAGAGTCCTTCTCTGATACCAAGTGTCTACTTAAATCCATTTCATGGCCTGATCCCAGCCACTTCCTGGTCCACTCAGCTCTGTCTGATCTTAGAATGGTTTTTACATCTGTACTGGACCTTGTCCAAGGGGCTCTGTTCCCTGCTTTGGAAAATTTTAGCTGATGAGTGCACACCAGAGGGTCTGTACTATATAAAAGGCATACCCCGGAAATGTAACCACACAAGCTCACATCCAACATGGGAAGAAGGCTGCCTGGGCCTTGGGTCACCCAGGAGCAAAGATCCACAGTGCAAGGATGTGGCCCTGTACCACTGGCTTGGTGGTGCCGTTTCCCAGCATCTTTGTCAGATTCCTAGGGCTTCCAGTGTACCCAGATTCCTGGCTAGCAATTTAATGGTACTATAGGCAGGCAATAAATGAAAGATTTAAAGAATTATTTTGTAATGAGACATTCAGCTCTAGATGTACCATCATTTTGAATGTATTGAGTTTTTAAAAGTGCTTTATTGACATTATACGACTATGCTGAGAACTGTCAGGCCTCTGAGCCCAAGTTAAGCCATTGTGACCTGCACATGTACATCCAGATGGTATGGAGCAACTGAAGAACCATAAAAGATGACATTCCACCATTGTGATTTGTTTTTGCCCCACCCCAACTAATCAATCAACCTTGTTATGTTTCTCCCACGGAAAATGAGTCTCCTGATCTCCCTACTCTGCACCTTGTGACTCCTGCCCCTGCCCACAAGAGAACAACCCCCTTTAACTGTAATTTTCCACTACCTACCCAAATCCTATAAAACTGCCGCACTCCTGTCTCCCTTTGCTGACTCCTTTTTCAGACTCAGCTTGCCTGCACCCAGGTGAAATAAACAGCCTTGTTGCTCACACAAAGCCTGTTTGGTGGTCTCTTTACACAGACGTGTGTGACAAGAACCAAACGTGAAATCTGGTTCCCCTTGAAAAAGGGCTCTTGACACAGAATGGCCAAATCAAGTAGAGGCTACAATTGGCATGATGGTTAGGAGCAGGTGTCAGAGCCAGCTGACCTGTTCTCAAATCTTGCTCCCACCATTAATTAACTGGATTTGCAACCCTGGGCATGTTACTTTATGTCTCTGTTTCTTATTTTTCTCACTTGTTCAAGGATAATAATATCTACCTCACAAGGTTGGTGTGAGGAGTAAATGAGTTAGTTAATATACACATAAAGTGCTTCAAACAGCGCCTGGCTCATAATTAGTACTCAATATAATATACATCAACTACTGTTTTTATTTATTAATTAAGTAATCTATCCCAAAGAACACTCCTGGGTTTTAGCAATTAAAGTTTTGTCAGTTTAAATGAATATTAATATATATGAATATACTGCCTCCTTCTTATTTGTCTATACCCTTCTCTAAAGAGGATTTTTTAAAAACTCTGAACAGCTTAAAGAAAAAATAATTCCTGGCTCGATGATGGAAATGTAGTAACACAATATAGAATTATTAATTGCTGTTCTTGTTACAAGCTACTCTGTCATTCAATTGGTAAAAAGTGTAAGCAGCCCCGCTCTCCTGATCATTTTTATTTTTTATTTTTTTAAAAAAAGAGTCTCACTCTGTCACTCAGGCTGGAGTGCAGTGGCATGATCTTGGCTCACTGAAACCTCCACTTCCTGGGTTCAAGCAGTTGGCTTCCCAAAGTGCTGGGATTATAGGTGTGAGCTACTGCTCCTGGCCTCCTTATCATTTTTATTTGTTTTACATCCTTCAGGTTAACCTGATCAATGTAGAGAACACATCAACTTTTTGTTGTTGTTGTTGTTGTTTTGTTTTTTTGAGATGGAGTCTCACTGTTGCCCAGGCTGGAGTACAGTGGCACAATCTCAGCTCAGTGCAACCTCTGCCTCCTGGGTTCAAGTGATTCTCCTGCCTCAGCCTCCAGAGTAGCTGGGATTACAGGCGTGCACCACCACACCCAGCTAATTTTTGTATTTTTAGTAGAGACAGAGGTTTCACTATGTTGGCCAGGCTGGTCTTGAACTCCTGACCTCAAGTGATCCACCCGCCTTGGCCTCCCAAAGTGCTGGGATTACAGGTATGAGCCACTACCCAGCAACTCTGTTTTTTAACTGTGGCAAATGCAGACAAAAGTTTAGGTCATTTGATGAGAAAAACATTAAAAGAGAACAAAATCAGTATCTCAACTATTGATGAAAACTTCTAACTGGTAACTATTAAATGGACCATGATAATTATTAGGCTTACAAAAGGAGAAAATAAGGGAAAAACCATCCATCTTAGTAAGAACTTTTTATTTCATTTTAAAATTTACTCAATGGGAAAAGGAGTTATTAGATATAAACTACATCAAGATATAAACCATAAGCCTGGAGGGGAGGCATGTTCCCATAGCCCCAGCTACTCAGGAGTGTGAAGCAGGAGGATCCCTGAGCTCAGGAGGTCGAGACTGCAGTGCACTATGACTGCATCACTGCACTCCAGCCTGGGTGATACAGCGACACTCCATCTCTTAAATGAAAGGAAAAACAAAAGATATAAACTATAGTATCTATCAGAGTTCTCCCATTAGTATTACCCACAGGGTCAGGTTTTTCAGAATTTCTGTTTGGTCCAGCCAGGCAGCAAGTTATAAGCCTGGCCTGCCCGGCTTTCTCTCCCCTTTCCCTACATTTCTCCTAATAATGAAACCCTGCTTTAAGACCTAGGTGTTTCGTTTGTTTTGAGACAGAGTTTTGCTCTGTTGCCTAGGCTGGAGTGCAGTGGCGCGATCTTGGCTCACTGCAACCTCTGCCTCCTGGGCTCAAGCAATTCTCACGCCTCAGCCTCCTGAGTAGCCAGGATTACAGGATTGTGCCATCACGCCTGGGTAATTTTTTGTAATTTTAGTGGAGACGGAGTTTCACCACGTTGGCCAGCTGGTCTCAAACTTTTGGCCTCAAGTTGATGCACCAGCCTCAGCTTCCCAAAGTGCTGGGATTATAGGCATGAGCCACCGTGCCCAAGACCTAGAATTTATTATGGCTACTCAACTAAAGCACTCTTGGCGTCAAGGGACACTTCCACATTTGTTCCATCATCTTTTTCTAAGGAATAAATGAATCTTATATATACTTTAGGGCACATCTCTTGACCACGAACATTTTTAAAAGCTAAATTTACCATGTATTTACTGTAGAGAGGGTGTCCTGGTTTGGGGCGAGGGGGTAGCACCGGATCTTGATTTTTAAAAACTTGACTCTTGGCTTTTGAGAGTCCAGTTGCCAAGTTACTTTGTTTTTTCTGAAGATCCATGTCAGAAGAGGATCGATTAAAAGGCAGTTTCTTATTAGATCTTCTGGTTGCAGAAAGCTTTGGGGGAGGTGGTCTCTCAGGGGGCACCTTGGTTGGAGGCTGTTGAGTTGGAATGGTTTTTCCATTCACAGGTCTGAAAATCAATGTAGTAGCCATGAGTCAGTGTTTTGATCAGTATTAAATTCTGTTCTGTCCTGTCTTACACACACACACACACACACACACACACACACACAGAGCTTTCTGCTAGTGGAATACAATTTACTGAAACATGCAGTGTATGCTATTTTTGAGCAAACGACTGCTGCTGCATTAAACATTACATTATTAGAGGAAATGCCATGATGTTCCAGCTTCCTCGTATCTTGCACTAGAGATTCATTAGTTCAAGACAAACAAGCATTTACTATCATGAGCTCTCTAAGGTCCCATTTGCTCTTAAACACATCATGACTATTTCTGGAAACTAGGCACTTTCCACCAAAGTCTGAGATGAAAAGCCTGTAAGATATGATGTATGTGTGCTGGGGTCTTGTACATGATTAGAAAAGGAACATCAAAATCCCCTAATATTCATGTTACAGGTGTTACTATTAAAACTTTAATTTAGATTAATATAAAGAAAGCTAGTTCTGAAAGGTTAGGACAACTATTACTTTGAAAGTCTTTCCTTAATCTCTATGATAGAAATAATTTTCAGCCGGGCATGGAGGCTCACACCTGTAATCCCAGCACTTTGGGAGGCCCAAGCAGCCAGATCACGAGGTCAAGAGATCGAGAACATCCTGGCCAACATGGTGAAACCCCATCTCTACTAAAAATACAAAAATTAGCTGCACATGATGGCTCACGCCTGTAGTCCCAGGCCTGTAGCCTACTCGGGAGGCTGAGGCAGGAGGATCGCTTGAACCCAGGAGGCAGAGGTTGCAGTGAGCTGAGATTGCGCCACTGCACTCCAGCGTGGAGACAGAGTGAGACTCCGTCTCAAAAAATAAATAAATAAATAAATTTCAACATAGTAATAATGTCTTCTGATAGCATCACAGCCCTTTATTTGAACAGCTCTGGAACTCAGAAGACAGTCACCTCTGAGCTCACAAAGCCAGTCCCCTTTGGAAATGCCAAAAACCAGTCTCTTAACCAGGAGGGTGTTAGTGGGCATGTATATGTATATTCTAGAAGTGGAGCTGTTTTAAGTTCAGAAATGAGTCTTGTTCATTTATTTGAGGAAATAAATGCTCTATGAGTTGAACTGTGTTAAAAAGAGAGCAGAGATTCCCACCACCTACCATTATAAGCAGACTGCGGATTAGGGGCCTGGGTGAACTGGTGAGATTATTTCGTTGCTAAAAAAAAGATCCAAGGCCAACAACACTCAATTATGGTGGTAAAAAAAGAGAGCTGGGTCTCTGAATCATTAATTTTTCTCTAACTTTTCCCACATTTACTTACCTCGGTGGCAACCTTGGGGGTCCTCGCACAAAACCTCCTGTTTGACCCGGGTGGTTGGATTCCTGCAAGTAGCAGAGAATGCTTTTTAGTTAAGGTTAATCTGAAACAAGAATCTGTCAAGAGAAATTCTGGACAACCTTTTGGCTGGATCTACAAGCAGAAATGCAGTTGAGTTATAGAAAGTAGCTTAAAAGAGTTTTCAGCATTAAACAATATTAACTTACTTCTGCCTAAATTATTCATGTCCTAATACAAGTCAAAATACTGACAGGAAGAAACCAGTCTCCTATTGTGGACCACAGCTTGAGCAATTGCACTGTATGGTCATGCACTCAGTGGATTCACGAGATATTAAGGGAAAATTTAAGCAGGCCCTAAAGAGAATTGACAAATATATGTTCTTGGCCAGGTGTGGTGGCTCCGCCTGTAATCCCAGCACTTTGGGAGGCTGACGCGGGTGGATCATGAGGTCAGGAGATCAAGACGAACGTGAGACTTGTCTCAAAAAAAACAAAAAAAAAAACAAAGCATTTTGTGAGGCTTTCCCCCCTCCTCCAAAAAAACAGTAAATGGCTCTGAGACTGCGCTTGGCTCCCAGCAAGAGAACTGAAATGACATTACTCCATGTAGTCAGACCTCATCTTCCCAATCCCTTCGGCTACTGACAGTCAGTCAGCAAGCGCTGTTTAAAAATGGAAGTTCTGAATCCCATTTACCCTATCAAACATCTTCCTAGTTCTGCAACGACAAAGTCTCCACACTATCCAATTTCTCTATTATCTATACCATTAGAGATAACAACCATACATTCGCAACACTGTACCTTTTACCTTCAACATCTATAACACCTTTTCCTTTTCTACAAACTCTTTACCCCTGACGCATCCCAGCGCCCGCATGCTGGAGTCGGACAAGCGGCATCGGCTGGCTTTCTTGAGCCTTTACGTATATCTCCTCACGATCGCTATCCTCTCCAACATCTGCAAGCTTCTTTTACGCTTCGGCCACCACATCTTTCTAGTCTCAAACTCACGCGCAAATTGTTGCAAACCAAACAA